CGCTCGGCTCACCAGGCTGCGTTTTGATTCCAGAACCCCACAAGGCCCCGGGGCTTTTCCTGGAGGCTGGAGTGGGACACACCCCGAGGGGTCTTGCTCCTTTGGAGGATGGGCAGCTGCCAAGGATTGGGGCGCGTGGTGATCTGGGGAGTCTGCGCTCTGCTTCCTTTAACCTGGGCGCTGCCTCCTCTGTCCCCACTGGATCCCGTTTCTTCTGGGGCTGGTGCCCGGTCTCTGTGGACAGACTCTGTCTTCTGTCTGTTGGGATCTCCACCTGACTCTCCTGCAGAAGCGTTCTCCCCTCCAAGCCCGCCCCATTTTGATGGAGGTGAAATGGGCACAGCATGAAAGGAGCGCATTAGATAGACTCCGCTGGAATTTAGAACTCTTGGGCCTCCCCTGGTGGCGCAGCGGTTGAGCTCTGGGTTGAGAGGCTGCCGCAGCCTCTGCAGCGCCAGCTCGATCCCCGTCCACTGGCGAGGGTCCCACCAAAAAAAAAAAAAAAAAAAAGAACTCTTGCTGTGTTGTGCAGCTGTGCAGCCACCACCTCTTCCTAACTCCAGAAATTTTTTGTCACCTCCAAAGAAAACCCCCAACCCACAGAGCAGTTACATCCCACCCCCTCTCCTCCCAGCCCGCTGCACCGATCTGCAGTCTGTCTCCATGGCAATCCCCGTTCTGAGTGTCTCTCATGGGGGAGTGGAAAGTACAGAAAGGTGGCCGCGGGAGCTTCCAGGCAGCATCGTGTCCTCAAGCTTCAGCCTGTGTCCTTTTTACGGCTGAATAATATTCCATGTCTGGATGGACCACATTTTGTTTATCCACTCATTGGTCACTGGACATTTGGGCTGTGTCCTCCTCTCGGTGATTGTGAATAGATGGGGCAGTGCTTTAAAGGGTCAAGACTTTCTTTCGAGGGCTGTGGCAGCCCCGGGCTTTCTCAGGGCTCTGCCCCCTGTGCACGCCCCATTCCCCACAGAGTGGTGGGCCTGCCCTCCACCCGGCACCGCGCTGGGAACTGCCAGCCATGACTCGTTTTGACATTCATAGAATAGCTGGCTGACACCTTGCTTTCCGAGCTGGAGCGTGGGAGCACCCCGAGGCAGGAGGCACTGCTTGGGGGGCCACCTGAGGGACCCAGAGAAGCAGCTGGCACCGTGCAAGGAGCCTGCCTTTCTGTGCATCCCTGGAACACGCTGGATACTCTTCTTGGAGCCTTCGCGTCTGCTGCTGGCTCTCTGGAATGCGCTTCCCCTGCCTCACCAGGCCTGGCTTCTTTTCATCCTTGGCATTTTAGCTTGCATTTCCCCTCCTGGGGGAGGGTTTGCTGGCCTGTCCCAGGCGGATGCACCCCTCCCTTCCACTGTTACTCTCCCCATGGGCACCCTGTTTTCTTCTGAAATCATCAGACGCTTCAGACGGGTTTCTCATAGATGATCACCCCATAAGCTAGCAGGGAGGCATCGTGTTGCTTGGAGTCAGATGTGGCTGGCGACCTCGCTGCACCCCATGGCCCTGCTGGTCGAGCGCCTTACTCGGTCCTCCTTCACGGCCTACTTTTGCCCAAGGAGCAAGTCCAGAGTCCCTCCCACGGGGTTGGTGTGAAGGTCAGAAATAACCTGTGCAGGCGGCCGACCCCTGCCGTGAGCGGTGGGTGCTACAGCCGGCCGCGGGGCTGTGGACGTGCTTGGCCGGAGGATGGTGGTGAGGAATCTAACTCCTGCCGCCGCTGGCTTGCCCAGAGGTAGCCAGGGCAGCTGGCCAGGCGCCGAATCTGCCAATCTGGTGGCCACTCAGGGCCCTTGAGCACCGAGACGTGGCTCCTGTGGATGGACGCGGGCTGGGGAGTGAGAAGCACAGGCTGGGTTCCCAAGACTTCCAGTGACTAGGAGAGCGGGTGACACTCCCAGGTGATTGCTCGCTGGCACTCAAGGATACAGTGATTACGCAACGATACCATTTTGAATATTTTGGGCTAAATCAACTGTATCATTTAAATCAATTTCACTTGTTTCTTTTGATGTTTTATAACGAGGTTCCCGGGATATCAAGGCTGGTGCGGGCTCACGTTGTATTTCTTGGCGGTGGCGTGGTTCTGCCCCCCCCCCCCCCCCAGCTCCCTGCGCACAGGCACTGGGCTGAGGGCTGAGGCTGCACCTTCTGGGAGTGTGTGGCCCTAGGCAAGTCAGCTCGAAGCTTTGTCCTTCAGATTCCTCATCTGTCAACCAGCGGCTCCCTGGGCCTGACGACAGTCGCATTCTAGAACCTCTTGTGTGCCCCAGGAAGGAGCTAGGGCCCCCTGAAGTCCTGGGGGCAAGGTCCTGCCCAGGCAACTCTCATTCTGGGGGAGGGGAACCCATGCTCTGCGTAATCTAAATAACACACCTGGGCGGGGGGTTGTTCCCTGCAGGTATGAGTAAGGGGACCGGTGATGAGAGCTGGTAGGGGAGCTCAGGGCAGACCTGGGGAGTGAGCACCCGGGATAGCTTCTCTAGTGACTGCTTTGGGCGACGAGGCGTGCTGGGCCCTCCACCGACTCACCCACACTCTGCAGCTCCAGACTCTTAAACCTGCTGGCTGCCTGGAGGCTGCGCGTTTCCCATGCGCCCCATCGGGCTGCCTCAGTGCGCTCTGGTTGGGCGAGGCCAGCTGGCCAGCGAGCTCTGATTGGATGAGGGCTGGTGATTCTCGGGGTGTGGCAGGGGTGCCTCTTGTTTGGCTTAGGACCCGGTCTCCACTGCTTTCTGCACTGGGGTGAGAATCCAGGTTGAGTCCCCCAGCCAGCAGGGCCCATGAGGGAGACAAGTCTCTTCCCCTTGGGGGCTCCTGTCCCCACCAAGGGGTGTGCATGCTCTACACGGTGTGGAGAGATGCCCGGGAGGCTTGCTCGGGCTTCGCAGGCTTGGGTGAACAGTGCTCTTGGCCACGCGGGTGCCTGCCTGCAGGTGCTGGCAGTTGCTGGCAGGGGCTGGCAGTTGGGTTGAGCTCAGAGGTTGAATGAGGCCCTGGGTGGGTCCTTGAGGGCGGCAGTGAGTCTTCCTCTCAGTCCTCACTGGGCCCGCACCCCTCAAGACTGCAGAATGAGGGGCTCACCTGAGGCTGCACAGGCAGGCACGGGCAGGTAGGGCTCCATGTGTGCTCCGAAGTTGCCCGTGTTTTTGAAGAATAGACACCTGAGCTGGGAGCTCAAGACCCCCATGAGCTGCTCCCCACTCAATTCCCATTATTTTCCCCAACAAACATTCCCTCCCTCCCAAGCACTGTTCCTTTTCCCAGACCCTTTCTTGCCAGTTCCCCCCACCTGTGAAATTCTGCTCCATGGCTAAGCTTGGCTGCCCCACCCCCCACCTTCCCAGCCCGCCCCACCTCGCCCCCCACCAGCTCACTCCTCTGGTGTGGATTGAGTGAATGAAGTCCCCACGTGGGATCAGACCAGGACAGGAACAGCTTGGAGGCAGAGGAACAGACTAAAGGGGCTTCCTGTGCTCCCGGATGTTGCCCCTGGGGCACGGCTGCCGGGCCTCCCTCCTCTCATGCCTTCAGTGGAGCAGGTGTCCAGCTGCACTGTCCGCGCAGCTCCTGCCGGGCAAGGCCCTTGCAGCCCTGTTCCCTTGCGCGGCTCTGCTCAGCAGCCTGCCCTGCGCCATCCCCGCAGCGGCCGTCCCCCTGTGCTCGGCCGCGTCCCCAGCCCCGTTCCCTCCAGAAGCCAGCAGGGCTGCACCCCTTCCTCATGTCCTCCCTGGGAAGGCCAGTCCCAGGGCTCCTGCGGCCTGTGATCGCCACATGTTGCTTAGCTTCTCTGAGCTCCGCTTCCTTTTGCTCAACATGGAGAGTGTCCAGCAACCCCGTCACTGCCTGGACACTGTCCCAGCTGTCAGTGGCTTGTTCCATCTCCTGCTAGATGGGAGGTGCCGGGGGAGCAGCGGTGCCTTCTGATTTCCAGGGCCTGGTGCAGGGAGAGTGCACAGTAGTGGTCAGGGGATTTCGGCCTTTAGCCTCAGATTCCCGCAATGGCAGCACTGGGAGCTGCGCATTCTCGCCTAGGGTCCTCTCTGCCCATGGTAAGGCCCACCCTCTTCTCTGCAGCAGCTACTCCTAGTGACCCTCCAGAACTCTGAGGGATACCTCAGTGCATGGGGCCAAAGTATACTAGGTTTTTATCAGCCTGGAGATGACCTTCGTGAAGCTTCTGTAGACTCTAGCAAAATTTTCCTTCCCCTGAACACAGGGAATTTGCCATCTTACAATGTAAGCTAAAGTGCATTTAGTTTAATGCAAAACAAAAAAAAAATCAAGCCAAAACATTAGAAAATTGTTCTTCAGAACCCAAACCAGAAGGTCATCTTGTTATATTGGCCCGATTTCTTCCTTTCTGCCAAGTGGCACCTCAGAAGCATTTTGGAAAACATACCTTCTTTTTGGAAGTTGGCAGCTCGGCCTCCTCGTACCAGGGCGCCTGGGTGAGTGAGCTTATTAAACTGGGTAGTAATTGGCTTTCTGTGGCAAGTCTTAGAGACTTCTAGGATCAGGACTGGATGAGATTTTTCTTGCCAACCAGACACCTTATTTTGAACAAAGTGTACCCAATCTGTTTAGGCCATGAGGCAAGTGGGCGCTTTGCCGACACCATCTATCTCCCTGAGTGCATGGGCCACCCAGGATGAACCCAAGTTGTGATGACCTGAGTGCTGGAGTCCCCCCCACCCCGAGTTTTCTACAGGGATTGCTAAAAACCAATATAAGTAAGACACTTCAGACCAGATGCAAACAAATCCCACTGCTGATTAGGCTGTCAGCAGCTGGGAGTGGTCCAGCCAGAGGCGGGAAGGGAACGCTGGCAGACCCGACCCTGATGTGGCCACGAAGTTCATTGTGAATTTCGGATTTCATGATTCACAAGCTCCTGGGTTGTAGCTTCTCATGTTTGTTGATAAACAGACGGCTTTGTAGGTACAATAAGAGGTCGAAGCAAGGAGGTTGGGTGGGGGGCGGGGGTTGAATCACTCAGACAGGGACAGGGGATGATCAGATTAGGACGGCGTCTTGCCTGTTTATTGGATCAGGTATCAGGTACAGACAGGACCTCTGCTCACTGGGTCTCTTTAGCATTTGTGCCAAGTGTCTGCAGGAGTGAAGCTTGGACATCTGAAACCGCCCTGCCCTGCGTTCTGACTGTCCTGTTCCACTTCGGGCGGAGGCTGTCTTGGCCAGTCTAGCGGGCTTGTCATGAAGGTCATCCCTAAAACAGTGCAAATGGTCCCATCCTCCTCCTCTTTCAAAGATGAAGCTATAGCCGCAAATCTTCCAACCCAGGAAGCTGGTAATGGATATTTTTGTAGATGATGTTATGCGATTATTGGATGAAGAATTGATTTGCTCTTGTTTACTGGAACCACAGAGGAAAAAAATCACAATTAATTTGAAATTAGCCATTTAAGAAACTGAAAAGTAGTCAAAAGTAGTTTTGCTATTTAAATGAAAAAGAAATAGTTGGTTGTCTTCTGTGACACCATGTCTGACTCACTTCATGCAAAGAACATAACAAAAGAAGGATAGAGAAACCCCCAAATCATGAGACATGGAAAACAGAGAGTAAAACGAAGGATGTAAACACAACCGTATCAATAATAACATTAAACGTGAATGGATTACCAATACAGTGAGAAGGTAGAGATTGTCAGAGCATATAAAATCATCTAACTAGGTGCTGTCTATAAGAGACACACACATTTGGATTTAAGGATACAAGAGATTGAAAGTAAGAGAATGGAGGAATAAAATACATGCAATGAGTAACTCTAAGAAAGCTAGAGCAAATATATTAATACCTAGAAGAGAGGTTTAAAATAAAAATAGACATCTTATAATGATATTTTATAATATTTTGTAAGGAGGAAAAGATCAATCCATCACGATAACATTTATAAGCTTACATGTGCCTAATAACAGAGCACTGAAATGTGTGAAGCAGAAACTGGCTGAAGTGAAGGACGATACAGATAATTCACAATAATATCAGTAGTTGGATACTTCGTTACCTCACTTTCAATAGTAGCTAGAACTAGACAGAAGATCAACAAGGAAGTGGAAACTTAACACTGTGACGTGACCAGAGCTAAGAGTCATGTATAGAATATTCCACCAATAGCATCAGATTGTGCACTTTGCCCTTTGTATCCTTGGGCTCTGCACCTGCAGATTCAACCAACCAAAGATGGAAAACACGTGCTGTGTGTTAGCCCTTGCGTGGCTGCATTTGTGGATAGACTCATGGTTACTCCCTAAGCAGTCCAACTTGGTATAACAACCGTCCCTAGCGTTTACCTTGTGGTCCGTGTTATGAGTAATCTAGAGATGATTTCACGTATGCAGGAGGGCGCACAGCATAGGTTGTATGCAAATATGCCATGTGCAGTTGACAAGGTTTTGATGAGTCTCGATGAGTCTTGTCGTCCCAGGCCACCTTTCACTGGCAATGGCGCAGGGGCTGGGCCGCCACACCCATGCCTGGCCGAGTGTTCCCCTGGCAGCCGGGCCTTGCAGCGGGCTCTCCAGAGCTGCGGCTGTGCAGCTTATGTGAGTTTGCAGGGCGTGTTTGTAGTTTAAAATTATTGTGCCTAGAAACGTCAAATCAAACATTTGCTGCTCGAGACCCTGCCTGCCCGGCCCTCGGCTCCCCGGGCTCTGAAATGCCGGCAGTTCTGCTCCGTTTCAGATATGGGTTACCATTCTGAGGGTGTCGCTGCTGTCCACGTCACGGCCGGGTCTTCTGTCTCGACCTCCAGGTGTCCTTCTGGCTTGTGGGCGCTGCCCCACTGTGTGCTCACTTGGTGGAGAGAGAGCAGCTCTGTCCTGTCTCTTCTAGCACAGTCTCTTGGCCGTCACCCCAAACCCCATCTGCCAATCCCATCTCCTTAGGATCAGGGTTTCCGCATAGGAATTGTGGGGCTGGGAGACATAGACATTCAGTCCCAACTCCGACAGACCCTTACAGTCTGCCATCCTTGACCTTGCCAGGACCCTCGCTCCCTCAGTCTTCGCCGTCTATGTCGTCTTCCTGCCCTTCCTGCTGCCTGGAGAGGCAGCTCAGCCTCCTCCGGTGTCTGCCCCGCCCCAGGCCCTGCACATCGCTGTCACAGCATGGCCACTTGTGGGCCTTGTCGCTCACCCCACTGGCTGGCGCCCAGGGCCGTGTGGGACTCATGTCTGAAGGCCTCGTGCCCACCCCATGGTCAGCACTGGGGTGTCGTTGAATGCGTGGATGAACAAACGAGTGAATGAACGAAGCTGCGGGACTGCTGCCCTCCCCTCCTCATCGCCCACATCCCCCCTTCTCAGCATCCACTGTCCACCAGTGCAGGCCGTACTTCCTCTGCCCCACAGGGACCCACAGCCCCTGGTCCCCTACCTACTGGCTGGTCTTGCCCCAGTTTGTTTCCTTGCCTGCCTCCCTAACTCCTCTGAGAGTATGGGGGGACCCTGAGGATACCAGCCCTAGGCCAGCACGGCCCCTGACCTGGTGACTGGGAGTGAGCAGCCTGGCTGGACACTCGCCCAGCTCTGTCGTTAGTGCCCCTTCACTTTGAGCCCTGCTCTCACTCTAAGTGCCTCAGCACCCCCCGCCCCCACTCCCCCCCAGCTCTGGAGTCATTTTCTTGAGAGGAGCCAGGGCAGGTCTGAGCTCTGTGTGTCCCGCCCGCTGCAGGCACTTGGGGTGTCCGCTGGGGAGCAGACTTATCGAGCCGCGTTGAGCGGCTTATGTAGAAAGGGTGTGGAAACCACACAGGGGTTGCGCCATGCCTGGAAGCTGCTAATCGAACTGCTTATTCTTGGTGGTGTGACTTCACGACTCATTTCAGCAGAGGTGGGGCAGAAACGACCTGTGACTGGGGCCTTTTCTGGGACTTCTTAAAAGGCACTTCAGTAAAGGGGAGAGTCCAAAATGGTGCAAGGAGTTTGTCAAGAACCAGTAAGTGGCAACTGAAAGAGCAAAGACCTTGTAGCAAGTGGGGACTTGGACAAATCCTTTACCTGCTTTCAACTGAAATTTGGTCCTTATGAAATGAGCGAAATAGCCCATGCCTTCCCAGGACCTCATAAGCACTACATGTGTAAAGACCTGACGCCTTATGCCTTCCCGGGAGGGCAGCCTCTGTGCCCAGGTATGCAGTAAAGGTACCTACCCTGCTTTTCTCTTGATGAGACAGTGCCCGGACCACCTGCTGCCTCCATCCTCAGGTCCTGGCTTACTCTCTGGCACCTGGAAGCTACATAGCAGAGCAGGAGCCAGACCACCTGGGTCCAACCTCTCACCCCCATTTACTGGTCGGGTCTCCTTGGCTAAGTTATTCAGACCTTCCTGTTGGGACAGTAGAAGGAGACACTAATAATACCCTTGTCATAGGGCTGAGAGGTGACGGAATGTGGGAAGTTTGGACGGCTGTGTAAATGTTCTAGTACTTGGTTCTAGTACTTGGTGCATGTTTGTTGCGTTGTGCTGGATTCTGTGCTGGCAGAGGGGTGTGGGTGCTGCCACGACGCTTTATTTTTCTCGCAGCGCAGTATCGATCCCCACTGCGCATGCCCGCCTCCAAGTTTCTCTTCTATTCTGCATCTGGTAAGGTTTTACAGGGAAAATCTGAAGAAAAAGGGAAATTGCACATGCACAGAATGTTCTAAAGGAAGTTTACCATGTTCCTGTGAACGGTGATAAGCTCTTCTTGTTCCTCTCTGCTGAGAACGTTGTTTGGTGCCTTGTGAATATGGGTAGCGATTTTATCAGGCATTGTTTGTTTGTGGGTGGGTGTGTTTGGTGGGAAACTGAAGTAGGCAGTTTGTTGCTAATATTGGAAGCTTTTCATGAACTGGGATGCTTTGAAACTAGTGTTTTATGGCTCTGTTGGGGCTAATTCAGTAGCATTTAATCTTCTGTCAGTGCGCTCTGCTCTTGGAGAGTGATGGCATGTTGGGGAAGGGGCCTCGCTGGTGGCTGGGAGGGAGGCTGGCAGGTGGGCGGAGAGCAGTGGAGGGCAGGGGTGTGGCCTGCAGGGCAACAGGTGCGAGGCAGGATGGAGCCAGGTGCTTCCCAGGCCGCCAGGAAGGTGGCAGCTCCGCCCTGGGTGGTGGCGTTGAGGGGGACCGCGGGGGTAAGCTGATTCTCAGGGGAACTCAGCCCTTATCTGGCTCTTCTCTGGTCAGTCCCTGGAAGGGGCGGCCTTTCACCAGGCCCTGTAGAGCTGGGTCCTTCCCTTGACCTGGGCAGGCCTTAGCAAGCAGGGCTCCCCCTGGCTCAGGGGACACGCGTTGGTGGGAAGCCTACAGGCAGCAGGGAATGGGGCCGGGATTTGACTCTGGTCTGACTGACGTGACGTTTGGGCTTTCTAGGGGAGCTTGACCCGGTCGGGGCAGGAGCCCTGGCAGTCCTGGAGGGCTTTCTGGAGCAGGTGCTGATGTGGCTGATAGACCTTGCGAGGCTAAGCAGGAGGTCAGGGTGGGGAGTCTGCTTGGGAGCGAAGAGGCAGGTTGGTGTCCTGCCTCCCCGTGTGCATCAGATCAGCTCTACCCTCTCCGGCTCTGTCCCTTCTGCACAAGAGGCTGTGGGGCCTTTCTTGTCCCATCAAGGCTGGAGCTCGCTCCTCTACGTCAGTACTTGCCAAATATTTTTCCCTCTGTTGACACCCTCTGCCTCCCCATGCTCCTTTGCGGCTTCAGTAGGTGTCCAGGCAGGGGTCACTGTCATGGCAACAAGGGCTGTGTCCTGCCCATCATTTGAAAGGCTCCAACGCCTGCTGGCCACCCAGGCTGTCAGTGCTGCTAGCAGGCTCACTCACCGGGAGAACTGGGTGATGCCAGGAGCAGGCGAGTGCCCAGTAGACCTGTGTCCACCTCCCAGAGTGGCTGCGTGTCCAGGGGGGCTCAGGCCTGCGCCTGAGGTGGGTCTGCTGCTGAGCCAGTGTCGCCACCGGTAAACATGGTGAAGTTATCTGCCTCAACCTCCGCCTTGTCCTGAGTGGGTTGGGCAGCGTGGCACAGCGCCGCTTCCTCTCTGCAGAAAAGCAGCTCTGTGGTGGAGTGATGGGCGCATGCTTCAGATGTGGGGAGATTCAAAAATAGATTAAAATGCACAATACAGCTGAGCTAAGCTTTGGGCATCTTCCCCGTGGGCTTCCCTCCCCGTGGGCTGCTCTGTGCGTCCTGTGTGGCTCTGCCTCATGAGATGTTCTGCCTGTGGCTCACCTCTGGCCTCTTCTCTCCGACCCAAGGAGGATGCAACCTCAGTGCTTTCCTGCCTCCAAGGTGCCTCCTCCAGGCAGCCCTCTGTGTTGACTCCAAGTCACTAGTTTGAAATGCTAGGGGTCACTGTCTTTTCCCTCCGTGGTATAAACCTTGCATGGCTCCCTGCTGTGCTCGAGATCAAGTTCAAACCATTTAAGGACTTACTGTTCTTCCTCCCACCTGAATCGGAGGAGGAGGCAGAAGAAATCGGTCCTCTAAGGGGAAGCCCTGTTGAGTCCTGGAGAACGGCTGGGAGCACAGCAGTGTCTCCGAGGGCCTCAGGAAGGGCTGGGCTTCTCGCCTGGGGAAACTGAGGCCACATCAGCTGTGTGACTTCTCCAAGTCACTCAGCAGGTTGAGAGGTGTGAGTCCAGGCCCCTGCTTTTCTGCACCAAGGCCGCCTGGTCCCTTGCCAGCTCTCCGGGGCAGAGGGAACCCGCCTTTCTACCTGGGGCACTGGGCTTGTGTTTCCTCCGCCAACACCTGGGCTGGCATCAGTACAGGGTGCGGCACCCTCCCTCCCCGAGCCCAGAATCCCTTCCGGCTGCCAGCCCCGGGACTTGTCAGAGGTCGTTCCTTACCTGGTCACGCCGACCGCTCGTTCTGGCCGTTATGGGGGGCTCTCCCGCTTGATCACTTGGGGATTGGTCTGTGGCTCAGAGTAGGTCTGCAGAGGCCGCGTCCTCTTCCAGCTGGCCCTTGGCACGCTCCAGGCCTCCGTCGGGGGAGAGGGGCACTCGCTCCCCGGGACGCGGTTGTGGCCGCTGCTGGCTTTGGGTGTGAGAGCCCCGGAGCTGACACTTCCTGGCCTGATGACCGTGTGATTTCACAGTGGCCGCGGCTGGAGATAAAGCCGCAGCGCCCAGGGCAGCGCCAGTGTCTGCGTCTCCCGTCGAGCTGCTGGTGAGCAGACCAGTACGTATAGAAGAATGTCTCGGCTCGGGTGACAGGAGGCTGGAGGCCGGTGAAGCTGCAGGGAGGGCCTTGTACTGTTCTTGGGCGTTTCTGCAGTTTTGGAACTTTAGCAAAGTCGAGTTTGTAAAAGGTGCTCTCTGCAGGATGGCGGTTGGGGCTGGCTGCGCCGCCCGTCCTCAGGCCCTCGGTTAAGTTTGGAGCTACCTGGGGTGGGGAGGGGCAGCCCTGACATAGAGAGAGGCCCAGACTTCTCACAGGATTCCTTCCTCCCTCCACAGAGAAATCATCCCATTTCTAGAATTTTTGCTTTAGGATCAACTTTCATTTTTTCATTTCTCTCCTTCCCTTAAAATTTTCTTAGTTCTGTTACCTTCTAACATTGCCGAAGCAGTATTTGCTATTGTAACTACTCAAACAGGGAAATTCAGGGGCCTTCTTTTTCCCCACGCTGCGGTGAGTAGAGCCCCAGCTCTTCCCAGCGCCTGTAGGAACACCCTCAGACATACGCAGACCTAGTCCGGCTTGGTGTCTTTTTCCTTTTTATCCTTTGTGAGCCTGGAGCCTCCTCCTTCTCTTTGAAGATGCAGTTTGGGGGTCAGGTCACCTCCTCCAGGAAGCCCCCAGGCTCTGAGCGCCTCTCTACTCTATTGCTGTCATCTGATTACCAGCTGCTCTCCTGCCAGATGTTGGGTAGTGGGAGGGCAGGAGCTGTTTCTGTTTCACAATCTGCCCTTGAGCTGGGAGCCCAGGAGATGCAATCAGTGTCGGTGGGTGAGCAGATGGACAGGGGAGGCAGCCTGGGCGAGGCAGCCACATGGGCAGAAGCTTGCAGGTAAGAGAAGCATCCTCATTTAAAGACCCCATCCAGCCTGTGGGATGAGAGTCCGGGGCCCTGGGCATCTGGGAGCAAATGTCCCTTTGGGGGATGTGGCCACTGCCACGCAGGGGCTCCTGTGCCCTGGCTGATCTGTCTAGGCACTGATGTCCTGGCTCTGGGTGTGAGAGCCCCGGAGCCGACACTTCCTGGCCTGATGACTGTGTGATTTCACAGTGGCCACGGAGGGCTGGGCCAGCAGGAGGGCCATGAGCTGTGAAGGGAGGGGCAAGGGCGGGGTCGGCCCTCTTCTCCCTGAGGCCCAGTCCAGGACTGGCTCACCAGGGGCCCAGGGGACAGGAGGGAGCGCAGACCAGGGCTGGCTCAGCACAGGATCTAGATGTGGGGCTGGCCTCGGTCTCTATCTGTCCACGATCTTGACTCCTTCCTTATTAGAGACCTGCTTTCTGCAGCTGGGACTGATTAATGTTATCTGCAGATCGTCTGGTCGGTGCCACAGGCTGGGGTCACTGCCAGCCCCAGGAAGTAGAGAGTTCAGCAGGATGTGAAGTGGGAGGGCTGGCTTCTCAGCCGGGAGCTCCCGGGGCCTAGAGGTGCGCGCCCTGCTCCGAGCACCTTTCCCAGCCCGCTCACTGCCTCAGGCCAGACGGCTCCCGCTTGCCTGCTCGGAGGGATTTGCTTATGGGGAGAGAGCAGTGCTGGGGCACCAGCAGGCGGGTGGGTGTGTCCGGGAAAAGCGGAGAACTTCACGTGGGAGCGTGTGGAGAAGGAGAGACGTTCTGCTTCCTGTCAGTTGTTGACTACTGATGACAAACATCAATAAAGTTTGCATAGTTTTGCAGGAATATGTGCACCAGCTTCAAGGCAAACATTTGCTTGTTTTATGAAGGCAACTCAGCCTGTCTTGTGCTCTTTTCTCATCAGTAAAATGGAAGGAAATAGCCTATTTGCTCCAAAGAGTTGCTCGAGATATGTCTCTTGGCAGCTCGCCCAGTGCCTGCCTTCAGGAGTCCACCCCAGAGCAACGGCCGCAGGCCTGGCGGGCACCGGCAGAGGCAGCGCAGGAGAGTCAGGGGCCTGCAGAGCTGGGCCCTGCGAGCTGCATTCGTCCTCCAGGGGTTTTGACACGCAGCAGCTTGAGAACCTCTGAGAACCTCTGAATCATCGAATCTGGTGGCGATTACTAGCAGTAGCTAAGAAGGATAGTGCGTTTCTGACCTGGGGCTTGGTGGGGGTTTCCTGGGGGTTCAGAACATGGAGGCACAGCTGTGAAGGAGGGAGACAGGGAACCCAGTTTGGGGCTGGTTAGTCTGGCTATTTGGGTCCGGAGGGCAAGGGACAGATGGCAGCTGGGGACACAGGTCCGCAGGGCTGTTTGTCTGCTGGTGCTAAGGAAAGGCTCCGGCCCCAGGGGACTGACAGCTGTCCTTCTTGGAGGGAGGCGTGTGCTGCACCTGGCAGGACGCTGAGGGCCATAGGCGTGGTTCTGGGTCTCGCTGGTGGTTCGTGCTGCTTCCCAGCCTGGGCCCTCACAGCCTCTGCCCGCCCTGTGAACTATCGGCTTTTGCCCTTGCCTCCACGGATGCCCCCTCTTTGGCTGCCCCTCCCCGAGTCTGTGGCTTGATTGAATGTCTCCAGTCTGATCTGTCCCAGCAGTTGCTGGCAGGCCCTGGGCGCGGCTCCTTCCAGCCGCCAGGCTTTTATTTGGCTTAATGGTAATAAATCAATTTAGATATAGATCATATGTATATACTAGGTATGTGTAATACACATGGATGCTACACACACACACACACACGAGTTTCCCAGGGTGACAGTAACGAAGTGGCTGCAGAGAGAAGTTCATTCTCTATTTTTTTTTCTCGTGGGTGGGAAGTGCTGTGTCACTGTGGTTTTGATTTGCATTTCCTTACTGCCTAGTGACGTTGCGCCTGTTGGCCATGGTATATCCCTTTGGGGAAAATGTCTATTGAAATCCTTTGTCCATTTAAAAGAAGGTTGTCTTTTTGTTGTTGAACTGTAAGACTTCTTTATATATTCTGGCTACCAGCCACTTACTGGACCTATGATTTGCAAATATTTTTTCTCAGCCTGTGGGTTATAGTTTTATTTCCAAATACAGTCACAGTCTGAGGTTCTAGGTGGACATGAATTTTGGGGGAACAGTATTCAAACCATCACAGTATCGGGCCTCCCCAGTGGCGCAGCGGTTGAGCGCTGGGTTGCGAAGCTGCCCGCAGCCTCTGCGGCGCCGGTTTGATCCCCGGCTGCTCCCTGACCACCGGAGGAGGGTCCCACATGGCGCGCAGACCTCTCCTGCCGCCCGCTGCTCCCCTCAGCAGTGTCCTTCGGTCCTTCTGCCTGCTCTGCTCCCCCGCGCTTCTGACTACCCAGTGCTTGTATAAATAAATAAATAATCTTAAAAAAAAATTAAAAAAAAAAACCATAACAGTATCCTTCAAGTTTTTTAAATTTTGATCAAGTCCAATTTATATTTCCTCTGTCACTGTACTTTTGGTGTCTTACCTAAGAAGCCATTACCTAATTGAAGGTCTTGAAAATTTATTCCTCTTTCCTTCTACGAGTTCTATAGTTTCAGCGACGTTTAGGTTCGTGATCCACTGAAGTTCATTTTTGAATGTGCTGTGAGGTAGGGCTCCAGCCTCAGAACTTGCCTGTGAAGACCTCATTGTCCAGCACCATCAGTTGAAAAGGCTGCTCTTTTCCTATTGAATGGTCTTCACACCCTTGTCAAAAATCATTTGACTGTGCCTGTAAAGGTTTATTTCTGGACTCTCTATTCTACTCCAGTTTCTGTATGTCTGGCCTTATGCCATTAGCACACTGTCTTGATTACTGTAACGTGGTGGTAAGTTTTGAAACTGGGAAGTGGTATCTCCCCGCGTTGTTCTTTTGTTTTGTTTTGAAGGTTATGGCCATTGAAATACACATTTCTATATAGATTTTAGGATCAACTTCCTATGAAGCAGTGAGCAGGCATTTTGATAGGAATTGAATTGAATCTGTAATCCATTTCTTAACCATATTGTATCTTTTGATCCACAGACATTGGTTGCATCTGTAATTTCTTTCAACGACTCTAATTTTCAAATGTTGTGCATTTTTTGCTAAATTTATTCCTCGGTATTTTATTCTTTTAAATTTTGTACATTTTAGTTTTAAGTATTTTTATTTATGCACACAAGAGCTGGGGTCTAGGCCAGAGGTGCAGGGGGGTGAGAGGATCACCAGAGACAGAGCAGGGAGCAGAATAGGCGGATCTACTGAAATACACTGCTGAGGGGAGCGGCAGGGAGACCGGAGAGGTCTGCTGCCTCTGGCTAGTGATCGAATGCATGTGGCAGTGGCGGGTGGTAGCTTGATAGCGCTGAGACTTGAACCCTGCACCACCAGGGAGGCCTTCAATTTTGTATATTTCTAAAAGTTGTTTTATGAACAAAATTTCCCATTGGAAGAAACCCTTCCAGCTTGAGAAATGGCTCCGTTTTCCCCCTTCAAGGAGTCTTCTGGGGATTTTCCTTCCAGATGAGCTAGGTTGAGGCCCCCAGGCAGAAGGGCCTCGTCCGCCAAATCCAGCAGCTCAGCCCGGCAGTCCCTCAGGACCTCCTGGACCCAACCCTGTTTGGGGTGTGGATTCCCTGCTCAGGGCCTGCGTTGAACGGGGTGGTGTTGCCTGATCTCTCTGTCCTTCCAGCCATCAGCATCCTCCACCCACTGTCCCTGCGCCCAGTACCCCACGTGGCCGCTGAGCTGCAGCCGCAGGAGTCGAGACAGCTGAGACCAGCCCCTGCCGCCAGGAGCTCGCAGCCTGGGGTGCAAGAGTAGCTCAGACACACAGCGCTAGGCGGGAAGGACCCCAAGGCCGTCCAGATGCAGGCTGCCCACGGGGCTGTGGGCCAGGAGCGGGGAGGGCTGGTGCAGAGAAGGGCCTGTTTGGCTGATGAGAAGACAGAGTGAAGGATGAGGCCGAGGGCCGTGGCGTGGGGGACCCTCTGCTCTGAGGACAGACAAGGGTCCGGGGCGGGGTGGGGGTGGGCACAGGCAGAAGAAGGGGGCCCTGGCTTGGGGGTGATCCTGTCTGGTTCTCAGTTGGGTTTTCTTCTGTGTCCTTAAGAAAGAAAGACCATTTTCTTCTCTTCTGGACATCTGCGCTGTTTATTCCTCCCTGCTTCTAATGTGGTTATAAATGGAATCACCCGCAAATTCTGTTCACGAATTGGCTATGCTGGTGTGCAGGAGAGGAAGCCATCTCCTGGGCACTCAGCTCCTTCCGCCCGCACTGGGGGCCCCCAAAGCCGGTGGGGCATGCGGGCTGGGCCCCGTGACTCCTGCCCCGGGGCGGGCTGCT